GATACCCGTACGCCAATCGAACCGTAGGGTACACAACCCCTACCAGGATTGCTTTGAAGGAGTGTAGGGGCACTACACACCTTTTTAACCACAACATCAAGAATCCCGTGAGCAAGGCCTTGGCAGATATTGGGGACTTAGCCTGATGATGAAACGACTCGAGGACCGCCCCAGGCTTGAATCCTCCCTCGTCATACTCAAGAGTCTTGGGGACCCCACTCTCGACCATCCTTTTCTCCACCTCCTCTGTGTTGCACCTGCCCAACGATAAGACAGGCATCTTCTTGTCGTCGTTATAGGGAAACAAATAATCAACCCAGTTCTTATAGCTAATTCCGGGAGTCCTTTTCTTCTTGCTGTTATGATCAACTACCCCGATGGTGTTCAGGCATATATGGTAGTGGCAGAGCAACTCCCAGAAGGTCTCCACCACGTGAGGCGACGTGTCCATGAGGTAATCTATCTCTCGCTGCTCGAGAACATACTCCTCATACAGGGAATTCTCCCATCTGCAGCCCTAACACTTCTTACATTTCATGAAGGGCAATTCCCAACTCTCCATTAGGAGTGAAGAACGTGCCACTATCCAGGCAGTAAAGCTCCAAAATACTCTGGAACTAAAGAGCACTAATCTTAAGGCCATGTTGGGTAGCCCTAATGGCTGCGTATAGCTCCGACCCCTGCATATCAGAGTTCTCCTCTAGCATGTGTTCGGTGATCCGGGACCACCAAGGGATGTTACTAGCAAAAGAGCAGATCCACCCCAGAGCCCTGAAGTCTTTTAGGGGAAATTTCCCCCAGCTCTGAAGAAGCAATGGTGGAAACTCTCCGCCACCGCTGCTATCTCCCCCATCTACAGTTCGCTCTGCTACCCTAGCAACTAAATCGCACACGGCAGTGCATGTAAAATATGCTGATAATAGTTGTGGCTTCTTTATGAATGAATATTTAATGTCATACTCTAAGTAAATTTAGAAAAAAAAACCTAAATATTTGGGAATTTGTAACACAAAACCCTTCAACCATTTTTATTACATCAAACCCCACTAACTTTAGGTATTATTGTACATAGCCCTCTAAATATTTCTATTCTGCTAAATTTCACATGAAATTTTCTCATTTAATGTCAAAATTTTTAAATAAGATTTAAGGTCAGTTTGGTTACATTTTTCAAAAACGCGCGGTAGCTACAGTGTCGCGAAAATGAGTGGTCCAGCTGTGCTGACAGCTGCAGTAATACAAGCTCACTTTCTTGCTTTTTATTGAGAATTGCTGAGGATGTGCCAACTCAGCTACAATAACACCAACTCAACTATAGTATCGCGTCAATTTTAACAAACCAAACAAAGGAGTTGGTTATAATATTGTAGCACCTGACACTTTAAGTATTACATCCCTAAAAAGTGGCAACCAAACAGCCTTTAGTCAAATCATACTCCCTTTAAAAGAGGGAGTTGTGGAAAAACTTTCTAAGGACTATATTACCCTTTTGATATTACATTCTAATACTAACTAAACTAAATTAATTATCATTGCTAATTAATTACATTATATGTCACTTTAAGTTTGCATAATTTGGTACTTAGAACTTCCAATGTTATTATAAAACTCTACATCATATTAATTATTAGTAATGTATAATAATATATTAATAGATAATTGCATGTCAATAAAGTAATTATGGAAAGAATAAAAAACATAGAATTATCCTAAAATTATACCATGAAACTCATATAGGAAAATTACAAAGAGCATTCTTATGTTTAGGTAACAAGACAGAATGTACAAACATTAAATTTTAGAAAACATTAGGATATTTGAGCGCATCAAGATACATTATCTAAAATTTAAAACAAAAGTGTAGCAAGATACAAGTGGAGGCATATGAGTATTATTTTGGTAAACTACAACGTATTTATGTTCAATTAATCCTAGAAAAGATTTGAAACCTTTATTATCTATAAACAATAGAATATGATCCCATTGACAAATAATATGATCCCATTGACAAATAATATTCATCATATAATATGAGGTTAGATTCTTAGCTTATATTTATATAGTAGAGGAGATGTGGAAAAAATTAAAGCATTATATTTTGAATGAGTCTTAAGATTTTGAATTATTTCTTAAAATTATATACTTCGCTTAGAAAACTTTAGTAGAGGCTTTTGAAGGACTACTACAAAGTATTTAACATCAAAATAAATATTAAAAACTAAATTCCATGATATCGGGTAGCAAAAATCAGGGATATATATGTAAGACTGGGTGTCATATGAGTAAATATTCATACATAACATGACATTGTAATATATAATCTAACATATTAATGTATTTTAAACATAGGATTTTGCATCAAGATATATGTTTAAGATTTAGGAGAGCCTAGAGTAGAGAGATTTGGGAGAAGAATTGTAGCCTTTGTGGGTTTTGCAGGTTCCAATTTTATTCCCAAACACAATCAAACCCTAACCCACAATCAAATTAAAAAATGACATGATTTTCTCGATATCTTCAAAGGGATATATCGGCCATGTTTTCGATAATGGTAGATTTATCAAAAAAATCAACAAATAAAATAAATAATATAAAATATTATCAAGATAAAGTCTTTAACCCGATATATTGGCCGGTATAGAAATATATTGATCGATATTTAATAGAATACCTATAAGAGTAAATATGTAAAGGTTATTTAGATATTAGTTCCTTGATTTTAAATATCCAATGATTCTATGTTATTCCCACAAAATTTTGAAATTGTTCATAATTTTAGGGACTAACACTAAATTATTAAAATTTTGAGAGACAAATTATAAATAAGCCATATTTAAAAAGAGTGTTAATTTTTAAAAAAACCCTCTCAACTATGGGGATTGTTTTAAAAAACTCACTCAACTGATTCAATTTGACAAAGCCCCCTCATTATGTGGGGTATTATAGATAACCCCTCTCAATTTTGGTACAATTTTAGAAAACATCTCTCAATTATAGCGTATCTCATAAAAACTCCCCTAATCATTTACACTTCTATCAACAAACCCCATTAACATAGTTACTTCGATATGTGATTTGGAAAAAATACCCTCTTGAAGAAATCAATTTTAATTAAATAGAAACCCTCAACCGACAATAAAAGGATCACAGCCAATTTACAAATTTTTTCCCTCTATCTCACCTCTTTTATCTGGCAAAAGCCAAGATAATTCTTTTATGATTGATTGATATTTTGGTCCTTCCAATTCAAGTACTTGTCACATAATAGATAAGACCTAATGATGTTAGTTTTGAAATGTTAGGTTTAAGTGAGAAAAGTTCACTGGGGTTAAATCAAAAAATTTTAAGTTGAGATAGATTATCTACAAAACTTGGCATAGATTTATTCAGTCTTAAATAGTTTTGTTAGGGGGGGGTTGTCATGTCCTCCATAGTTGAGGGGGAGCTTTCTAAAATTAACTTTTAAACAAAAACACAACTTAAGGCACATGTGATATCAATTTTATAAAAGTGGAGTTTATAGCAAGTCTATCACTTAATGAATTGGTTTGGGTTACCTGTCCTTAAATTTATCCTACACATCAACTCTAAAAATCTTTTGCTATAAGAATTTCTAAGAGAAATTTAGTATTTATTTGGGATGGGTATATGATCGTTTTGATTCCCTTTGTCTTTCATAATTTATAATAAATTATTTGACAAAGTAAATAAAATTGTTATTTTATATTACTCACATTCTTATAAGTTTATGAAGCTCATAGCTTGGATATGACTACTATTGCAGATATTGTACTCTTCTAACTCCTTAAGCTAAATTTTTGAATGTTGTTTGACATTGGATAGATATAACTTATTTTGTTAAAATAGAATCAATATGAGTGTATGATATGTACAAATCATTCTTAGACCATATTTTATAATTTTTTGAAACCAGAGAGTAATCGTTTTGACAGATCAATTAGTATTTGGGAAGATGTAAAAAGAGTACAACATCAAATTTTAGAATTGATCACATAGTTTATATTTTCTTTCTTGATTGAATTTGTACATTCTAACTTAGAATATTCTTAAAAAAAATTCTTGAATATCTATAATACTCGATCGCCAGATAAACGACACATAGAAGTAAACAACAGGTGGAAGTAATTTTTTTTTATAACTGAACAAAATCCTTAATGACTAGATAAAACCTACAATTTTCCTTAATGAATTCATGAATTTTTTTGATTAATAATAATAGGTTTTTTCCATATCGGTCCCTTACATCATTAATATTTTAAAACTATAGATTCAAATTACTATTTAATCTTAAATTATTAATATTTTATGGCTTTAAACATCACTATTTCTCTGGAAGACAAAATGTTAAAATCACACATGGAAATATCCAAAAAAATTCAATATATTACGATAATTATAAAGTTTTTACAACCATTTTATAGTAAATAAATAAACTTAAAATAAATAATTAAAATATTTGATCACGTGCAGTGCACGTGCATTCCACCTAGTAAAAACAAAAACGTTCAAGAAGCTGTGTGTAATAACTCATAAAGTTCAACAGTATTTAGTGGAATAAAAAGGTTAAGGGATTGTGCAGCTCCCCAAAAATTCAGGGGTTTTTCTGTAATTAACCCTTTTGGAGTGTTCCTTCTCCGTGTGACCCCATCATGCCCATCACCATCTTCAGCATTCCATCGCTCTTTCCACAACGCAATAAAAAGCAAAAGAGATCACATTGATCACAAAATCCAATTTACTGACCACAAAGACCCGTCCATCTCTTTTTGCTATTATTTTTTTAATAAAATAATTAAAAAGAGCAGCCAATCATATTAAAACATGGGTCACTGGTTATTTTTAGCTCCCCCATTGCCTTCTGATATTTACAAGGGTAAATAAATAAACGCTTTAAAGAGAGAAAAGAAAGAGAGTCCACTAGATTCCCATGGGAGGCTCTTTTTTTATCTCCCCTCCTCATTGATTGATCGATCGTTGAGATTCTGTTATTATTGGTGCTTTTATAAAGGCGACCAACTACACTTTGTCGGAGTTATGGGATGTATCTGAGCAATAAAAAGGTGCCTTTTCCCCAAAAAAAAAAAAAAACACGTTCTTGCCGTAGTTGGTGCTCTTTTCCAGATGCCCGAGAGGAATTTGGACTTGTTTCTCGTCAAAGGTTCCATCAAAACCTGATCTTTTTCCATTACGCTGTTGAAATTCCGGAAATGGCGATCTGGGCTCTTTAATTTGTTTTGTGGCGAGAGAGAAAAACGTTGGTGCTGAGATTCGGGAGTTTTTAGACGTTTCGCTGAGTTCTGATAGGGTTCGTGAGTTAGCTAACTGGATTTTTCCAGGATAAAGTTGAGAGTTTCGGAGTTCGATTGAGGGTGCGATTAACGCATAAACGATCGTAGGTCTAGTCTGAAGTTGAGTGAAGACCCGGTGTTGACCTCAACAAGCAGTAGGCGAGGGTTCTATTTCCCGTTGCTTTAGATGGAGAAGCAGCAGAGTTTTCGATTGGGAGCCCTGGAGAGGCTACAGAGCTTCAAAAGTTTCCGAATGGGCTCGACGGAGAAGAAGAAGGGCAAGGAGAGTCCGGGGAAGAGAGGGGATACACCCCTCCATCTCGCCTCGAGAGCTGGCAACTCGTCGAGCGTGGCGAAGATCCTTTCGGATTGCGAGGAGAGCCTGCAGCTGAAGGGTTTGGTCTCCAAGCAGAACCAGGACGGAGAAACTGCGCTCTACGTGGCGGCCGAGAGAGGGTTTGTTGGGGTTGTTAAGGAGGTGTTGAGGGTTTCGGACGTTCAGTCGGCTGCCATCCAGGCGAACAACAGCTTCGACGCCTTCCATGTCGCTGCTAGGCAAGGACATTTCGGTAATTGTCGCGTCTATGACCTTAAGTAGTTCAGTTGAAATTTCTAATATTAACGAGGCTCGTGTCCACAATCTTTATTCTGGTAACTTTATTTGCTTTTCATTTGGTCTTGCAGAAGTGGTCAAGGAACTATGGCAATCTTTCCCTGCATTAGCTATGACTACGAACGCATCCAACTCTACCGCCTTAGATACCGCTGCCACTCAAGGCCACATCGATATCGTCAACCTTCTATTAGGAACTGGCGTGGATCTCGCCAAGATTGCTCGTAACAACGGCAAGACTGTTTTACACTCAGCAGCGAGAATGGGGCATGTTGATGTGGTGAAATCAATTTTGGGTAAGGATCCTAGTATTGGTTCTAGGACTGATAAAAAGGGGCAAACAGCATTTCACATGGCGGTGAAAGGTAACAGTGTTGACATTGTTTTGGAGTTGCTAAAACCCGATCCCTCTATAATCAATGTGGAAGATAGCAAGGGTAACACGGCGTTGCATATTGCAACAAGGAAGGGTCGCCCTGAGGTATGTAACAAATTTTGCGACTTGATAGAGTTTTCAATTAAGCATCGCTTTCCAATTCGTTAATGGAGTTTTCATTTAATTTCTTTTCATTTTGCTTAAGCAACTTAGCTCAGTTGCTCATAAGAGGTTAATAATCGTCGTCACAAGTGTTTACCTTTGAATGAACCACTCCACACAAGATGCAAGAATAGGAAGTAATAAAAAGTCAATCTCGAGGAATCAAGGTTGATACTCTTAGTTTACAGAACTTGGTAAAGTCGTCATTACTGTCGTCAATCCTTTCCCCGCCTACATGAGGATTGTCAATGTAATGTCGACCGTGTATGAATTGGTGCAATCTTCCCAGTCTAGGTAATTATTAGTAGACAGGGCCGTGCTGTTAAACCTTAATAGCTGGTTTCCTAGTAAGTAAAACCTACCAGAGACATGTAGGTGGAGCTCATTTTAGTAAAGAGATCCACATTCTCCTAGATAAGAGAAATTTGAAGAGGTATTGATGTATGATTTGCTATAGGGAGCCATAAACTTAGGCACAAGATAAGCTATAAAACCAATAATATCACACTTTAATTCTTGGCACAGGAACTCAGACTCTAATGAGCCGGTAACATTTACCTAACATTTCTAAGAAGCCCTTAATGGGTTAAAATATTAGATTAAATGCTTCTCAGAAGTGTCCGTTAAACATTATTAGATGCTGATCTGACTTAGAGCTCCTTGGTACAGTGACCCTCATATTGTTTACAAATTTGAAATTTAGCAACATGTAAGCATACATATTCTTGGAAATATTGACCAACACACGTCACCTAGTACTGTAGAAATAAGTATCTTGTGAAATAGTAAGATTACACACATTTTCACCTGGTATTATTTACAAACAAGTATCCACTTTAGAGTCTTAGACAGCATAGTAAGGCTGATTAATGTTGTAAGGTATTTGATGGATGTCTTGGTCAGGATTGGATAAGTATACGGAGTTTCCATACATGACCATCACATTATAGATGTTATTCAATTGAAGAGTTCCTTCTTGTTGTTTCCAGAAAAGTGACAGATCAACGGGTTTCAAGTGGTAACTTGTTTACCTTTTACAAGTGATTAGCTCCGAATTTACTACACAGGATATGTCTTTGTGCACCTTGTTCACTTTTTACAAGTCAACTTGGAGTAGATTTCTGAGCCTGAGAGGCTGATATCATTAAGCTCGGTTCAACTTCATACTATTAGTATATTAAACTATATCCATCATCCCTCACCACAACCTCGGAGTTTTGATGTAATAGTTGGGGCCTTAACATGGTATCAGAGCAACCCAGGTTCAAATCATTCTAACCACAAATTTAATTCAAATTTCAGGAAAAACAAATTTTATACCATTGTGTGGCTCCAGGTTTCAGCCCATAGAAAGGGCCCTCGACCCTGCGGGGGCATATTAGAATATAAAACTATAACCCTCAACTCTCATCACAACTTCGGAGTTTAGGTATAAAGGTTAGAGGCTACAAACTATTTAAAACATACGATGAGAGATATTAATGAGAGGCTACAAAATATTTAACACGTATGATGAGAGATATTAATGAGAGGCTACAAAATATTTAACACGTATGATGAGAGATATTTATGAACATGAAATTATTTCAAAAGGGCATGCAGGCTTCAAATCCTTGATTGAATTGAATTATAAATTCATTTACCTGATGTTATGATTTTACTACCAGGATCTTAAATCTATTGGTTTCTGACTTGTTAGCAACTTCTATTGAACAGAAATGAATTTAGGACTCAATAGCACAGGTCGTATTTCATAGAACAAGAACCTATTAGTACCACATAATCCATAAGAGTAAAAGATCCTTTCAATTACATATGAAGGATCTTTCCAAACGTATTACATTGGGATTACACAACATTGGATCTATCTAAAGAAGACATCACCATATATCATAGTTTACTTAATAGGAAACATCTCAAACTAGTCATGGGAATGTAAGCTTTTTCTATTATATTTCTCTTTTTAGGATTTGTACTCAAATCTATCAGCATACTGGAGTGATCCCATGCATATAGAAAGTGTCTTGACACCATGTTATTCAGAAACTAGTCACACTTTCTATTATTTTATTTAAGGTTAATTGCACATAGATACGTTTGTAGTATCATTGTTTTGAACTTACTACCCCTATAGTTTCATTGTCGCAGATAGACTGGTTGGACTTTTGACTCTTTGATTCTCAGACTCACTATTTCACCAAGAAGCAATATCTGCCAAAAAAATCACTAAGTGATAAAAGAGTAAACAAAATTTAACCTGGGGTTCTATCAACGTTAATGAAATTACAGGGATAGTAATTGCAAAGCAGCATTAATATACATACAATTTATCGTTTTGTTTAAGATAGAGCGATGTAGGACCAGTCCTGAAAAACTTCCATATCTCTGTTATTTATCAAGCTCATTCTTCTTGATCTCTACATTTTCCCTAATGTCTATTTCTTTCCTCGCTGCAGATTGTGCAGGCCCTATTATCAGTTCCTGGAATCGACATCAACGCTACCAACCGAGCTGGTGAAACCGCACTTGGCATCGCTGAGAAATTCGGCAACGAAAACATCACCACTGTGCTCCGAGAAGTTGGTGCCGTGGCCACCCCCAGAAACCGTGATAACCCACCAAACCCCGCAAAGCAACTGAAACAAACAGTAAGCGACATCAAGCATGACGTCCAATCCCAAATAAAGCAAACTCGCCAAACTGAGGCTCGAGTCTACAACATCAAGAAACGGCTCCAAAAGCTCCACATCGGTGGCCTCAACAACGCCATCAACTCCAACACCGTTGTCGCCGTCCTTATCGCCTCGGTCGCCTTCGCTGCCATTTTCCAAGTCCCAGGCAACTATGTCGATACTGAATCAAAGGATTTTACCCTCGGTCAAGCTTACATAGCAAAAAATAAGGCGTTCCTCATCTTTTTAGTTTTTGATTCTCTTGCATTGTTTATATCACTTGCTGTCGTGGTGGTACAAACTTCTCTTATAGTCGTGGAGCAAAAGGCGAAGAAATTGATGGTGTTTGTGATGAACAAGCTGATGTGGCTCGCTTGTTTGTTTATCTCGGTATCTTTTATTGCGCTTACTTACGTTGTGGTGGGTAAGCATGATCTGTGGTTGGCTTGGTGCACGATGGCGATTGGGGCGACGATAATGCTAGGGACTATGGGGTCGATGTGTTATTGTATCGTAGTCCATCAGATCGAGGAGAAGAATTTGAGGAGTATAAGGAGGAAGGCGTCGGGGAGTCGTTCGAGGTCTTGGTCGTTGTCGGTGGCTTCGGATTCAGAGATGTTTAATAGTGAGTTTAAGAAGATGTATGCCCTTTAGAGTTCAGATTTGGCTCCCTAGGACTTGTACATAATTGCCCTGTGATGGAATTAGGAGAGGCAGGAGTTGTAGCAGGAAAGAGCATCCCACGGTATTGAAGAAATGGAGATGTAACTGGTTGTTGAATCTTATATATTTATCAATGTGATGATTATAAATCAATATCACGTCCTTTTTCTACTTTCTTGACTGGGAAATTACTTGGGATTCTATGTGGTCAAGTCTGTGATGAAGCTTGTAAGCATTTTGAAGATACTGGAAATAGATGGGATGCAAGTTCTCTGTTCTTAGGGGAGAAGAATTTGTTGTGGAATTTGTTGGATAAATAACAACAAATCAAATACCAAGATGTAACAAACTAAAATAATTAATTATTTATTAAAAGTTAAACTAAAATAATTAATTAATTATTAAAAGCTAGTTAGTTTTCTCACGTTCTCAGCAGCGTAAGAAATTCTTGCTATCAAAATAAACAATATTAGTTTAACTGAAAATAAATGAGTTATGAAAAATCAGGCCTGAACGGGGTGCAGTCGTGATACACTGCCCTAGAAGATAGAGGCCCCGCCTGTCGCCCTGGCGTAGTTGATCCTCCCCCCTAGCGGTAAAAGCCCCCCGGAAACGGCCGGCCTCTCTACTCGGGCGCGAGTAGCAGAGCTTCTGCTCAGATGAAGATGATTGCCCAAAAATAATCCTCAAAATATGTAGCCGAAAATCTTTGAGTACTAAGAGTAGCAGAAGGAGGAAGAGGGAGCTATGAAATTCTTTGTGAATTTCTGTGTGTTTTCCCGAATGAACTCTGCCTCCTTATATAGCCTCATGAACCAGTAACCGATGCTGAATCTCCTCGTCCGTTGGGCGTAAATCACGCTGCCGTTACATAATAAATGCTGCCGTTACATAATAAATGCTGCCGTTACAAAAAAATAAAAGCTGGAGAAGCAAAACCCGAGTGCGGTGCGGCGTGGCGCGCGCGTCGTGAAAATTGCCTTTTCCTTAAGAAATGCTAACAATCCCCCCCAAAAGGCAATATTGACAAAACAATTAGTAAAACATATATATATATATATATATATAGGTTGGGCAACCTTTTGTATCGTGAATTCGGGAAAGGTAGCTTCCGGCTTTGAACCTTTCCTTAGTGAGTTTGTCGCCACCTGAGGGACATAATGGACTAAGCCTTGAATTAGGGCCCTTGAATCAGGTATTGACAAAAACACACACAATACACTTCATCTATTGAGCAAAGCGGGTTGAGCGTTAAAAGGCCATGCTCACAATAACCGACTCATGAGAGTTTCTAGGGGTTAGTTTAGTCCAGCCCCCCCCAACCGCGGCCATCACGATTCCTCTCACGTAGGTAAGTCCTCAAAGGGTACTACAGCTGTTTATTTAATACCCCCCAATAATACATGCGTTGGACTTATTAAGAGTAAAACTCAGCCTAACCAGCTGTATCATAGGAGCATCGTCATCATAGAGAAGGGGTAGTAGGTCACACTACATAATGATATATGAATATATATATGGGTCGATGCTCTACCCGAGTATCACTAGTCCAGCTTGTTTCTACCACATTGAACCGACATTGGGACAACGTCTCCAAATAAGGGTTGGGTTCCCACTGTCAGTGACCTCTTTAATGGACTTAACCCCATCTCCCTCGATGAATCCAGGACTACACTCCTGGATAATCCCTTAGTCAAAGGGTCAGCAATATTTTTCTCAGACTTTACAAAATCCAAGATCACAACTTTGCCTAACAGGCGTTGTACAGACTTATATCTTATTTGAATATGTCTGTTGAGTTTTTTATTTACATGTACTTGCTTTAGAAGCTCTATGGTAGATCTAGAATCAGAATGAATGGAAATTGGAGGAAAAGGTTTAGGGACCAAAGGAAGTTCAGAGATAAGATCTTTTAACCATTCGGCTTCTGAGCAAGTAGTATCAAGTGCAATCAATTCAGATTCCATGGTGCTCCTGGCAATTACTGTTTGCTTACATGATTTCCAGGATACAGCAGCACCACCAAAAAGAAATACATACCCAGATGTTGACTTTACACTGTTGGAATCTGTGACCCAATTGGCGTCACTATACCCTTCAATGGCATCAGGGTATCCAGTGTAAGTTAAGCAATAGTCAACTGTCCCTTTTAAGTATTTAAATACTCTTTCTAAGGCAGACCAATGATCTGGGTTAGGGTTACTGGTATACCGACTCAATCTCCCTACAGCATAAGCTATATCGGGTCTAGTCCGGTTTGATATGTATAAAAGGGATCCAATCATTTGGGAATATTTCAATTGAGAGACAGATTCACCTTCATTTTTCTTCAAGGGTATAGAAGAATCATATGGTGTGGAAACAGATTTAAAGTTATGAAAGTTGAATTTGATCAGCATTTTCTCAATACTGTGAGAAAGACTCAAGGATATTCCTCTAGTGTCTCTAGTGATTTTCATTCCAAGTATCATATCGGCAAGACCTAAGTCTTTCATGTCAAAATTTTTGGAGAGATAATCCTTAACTTTTAAGATTAGTTCAAGAGTAGTTCCAAAGATAAGGATATCATCAACATAGAGACATAGGATAACATAGTCATTGTTTATCACTTTTGAATAAACACATTTGTCGTGTTCATTCACCGTGAATCCATATTGTGCAATGACTTTGTTAAATTTCTGGTGCCATTGTTTAGGAGCTTGTTTAAGACCATACAGAGATTTAACAAGTTTACAGACTTTGTTTTCCTGACCCTTGGTAATGAAGCCTTCAGGTTGGTGCATATAAATTTCTTCATCTAGATCACCATTCAGGAAAGCAGTCTTGACATCCATCTGATGTATGATCAGTTTGTGGATAGCAGCAAAGGCTAAAAGAATTCTGATAGTAGAAATTCGGGCTACAGGAGAATAGGTATCAAAGTAATCAATGCCCTTTTTCTGAGTATAGCCTTTAGCTACTAATCTAGCTTTAAATTTATCTATGGAACCATCAGCTCTAAGTTTCTTTTTGAATATCCACTTACAGCCAACAGGATTACAGCCTGGAGGTAGGTCAGTGAGTATCCAAGTATGGTTTTCCATGATAGATTTAATCTCATTATCAATGGCTTCTTTCCAGAAAGGAGATTCAGGTGAATCCATTGCTTCTTGAAATGAGCTTGGATCACCTTCAACAAGAAAGGTAAAGAAGTCTTCTCCAAAATCCTTTTGAATTCTACCTCTTTTGCTTCTTCGAGGCTCAATGTCAAAAGGTTGGGAAGAACTAGATGATGGAAGATCAGAAGGAATAGATGTTCTAGAATTTTCTGAGATTTTGGATTTGAAAGGAAAGATATTTTCAAAGAAGACTGCATCTCTAGCTTCAATGATAGTGTTGTTGGATATGTCACTGATTTCAGAGTTAATGACTAGAAATCTATTAACATTGCTATCTAGTGCATATCCAATGAAAGCAGCATCAATAGTTTTGGAACCAATTTTCCTCTTCTTAGGTTCGGGAATAGCTACCTTAGCCAAGCAACCCCAAACTCGGAAGAAGTTCAGATTAGGAGATCTCCCCTTCCAATATTCATAAGGAGTTGTATTGGAATTTCTTTGGGGAATCCTATTGAGAATAAAACAAGCAGAGAGAAGAGCTTCACCCCAGAGATTTTCAGGTGCTCCTGAACTGAGTAACATACAGTTTACCATGTCCATTAGGGTTCTGTTTTTTCGTTCAGCTACCCCGTTAGACTGTGGTGTATAGGGAGCAGTAACCTCATGAATAATACCGTGTTCTTGGCAAAATTCAGTCATATAATTTGAGGTATACTCCCCCCCACGATCAGATCTTAGGATCTTGATCTTCCTGTCTAATTGGTTCTCAGACTCAGCTTTATAGACCTTAAACCTATCTAGGACTTCATCTTTAGTCCTGAGAAGATATGTGAAACAATATCTGGAGTGATCGTCTATAAAGGTCACAAAATATCTCCTACCCCCTCGGGTGAGAACTCGATTCGAGTCACACACATCACTATGAATTAATTCGAGGGGCTCAGAGTTTCTAGTTATAGACTTGAAGGGTTTTTTTGTGTGTTTCCCTTGAACACAAATCTCACACTTGGATGAGAGGTCAATAGATGATTTAGGAATAAGATTCAAATTGATCATTTTCTGTAAAGTTTGAAAATTGACATGTCCAAGTCGTCCATGCCAGACATCACAAGATTCAACAATTTGAATAACAGGAGACTTAGAATTTTCATTAGAACTGGAATTGATTACATTGAGTTTGAAAAGGCCATTACAGATAAAACCTTTTCCTATAAAATTATTACTCTTTGTAATCACAAATCTGTTGGATTCTTTTACAATCCTATAACCAGTTCTAAGAAGAAGAGATTCACTAATCAAATTTCGACGGAGAGAAGGAACAAGGTAGACGCCTTGCAGATGTAGGGCTTTCCCAGAAGTCATAGTGAGCTTTATACTTCCACTTCCTATTATTGGTTTAGTGGAGTCATCTGCTAAGCTTATGCTTCCTCCACGTGATTCCTGATAATTTGAAAACCAAGAGCGATCATTACAGACGTGTATATTTGCTCCGGAATCCAGATACCAATCAGTGGAAGAAGTTAGAGAATTTACAAGATGAGGTGATGGGGCTAACCTGAAGGAGGTTGGATTCTCTTCAATCATATTAACTTTATTTGATCCATTTCCTTTAGAGGCAGGTTTAGCCGGTTCCTTCTTCCGAAAGAAACAGTTGGAAGAAATGTGGTTGGTTCTACCACAGACAAAGCAGAACTTTCCATCAGACTTATGGCTGGAAGAATTGGAATTGGAAGAATTTGATTTGAAGGAAGATTTATTGAAAGATTGTTGGTTTTTCTTGAATTTCTTCCATTTGGGTTTGAAATTTCTAGATTTAGGCTTTTCCTCTACCAAGTTTACTTTAGCTTTTGATTCATTCTTGGTTTTGGAATTTAGCCTATGCTGGTCTTCAATACGAATGGCCTTGAGGGCCTCAGTTAAGGTTAGATCTCCTTGCTTGTGTCGGAGATCTCCAGCAAATCTAGACCAGGAAGGAGGGAGTTTATCAATCAAACAGGAAACTTTATAGTCATCAGTAAAAGTGTTTCCTTTTGATTGGAGATGACGGATGAAATCTAAAAATTCATGAATTTG